TCAATCCTTGATCATATAGAGTGCTTGTTCGGGGTGAACATAATCGAAGTGGTTCATGAAATCCCGCTCGAATGTGGGAAGATCCACCCATACATAAGTGCTATACCAATGATGGGCGTCTCCCCCCATCCGCGCGGGGATGTTAATCTGAGCTTCATCATTCGTATACCGCTGAGCTCGGAGCGTGGCCAACCATGCTCCGGCGAGATGATGTGCTGGGTCAAATAAATAAAGATCTGGTGGAGCCGCAGGGGTTCGCGCAGGCGGGTTAGGTGGTTGATTGTGGATGGCCGCCGCAGCGGCTGCTGCAGCAGCGGTCGCAGGCGCGACTTCCTGATCGGAGTAGGGTGTGGGCCTGGAAGTGCAAAAGGGGTGTGCCAAGGATTTTTGGAAAGTGGGGGTGGAGTCCCAGGTCGGAACTGAGATCTCCGGTGGCAAGGTTCAGGGGCATAGATGCAATAGAGCAATGGGAAAATTTACAGGCGCGGGCTTGCACGTTGGTTGTACGGGGCCGTCCGATCCTGACGCGATCGCCGGTTCTGGGGAGCCTGTCGGGGCGGTCTTTGGGGCTCACACCTGCGGAGCCCGCCACGTGGCGTGGGTTGGTGGGAACTAAGCCTAGGTGCCGACGCTTCGGGGGTTCGGGTATGCGCACGCCGCCTGCAGCTTCGGCACGGGGTGGAGGGCCAATAAGGTGCTATGGAATTCCACGGTACTACTGTAAGCTGATGATAGGGAAGGAGGAGGTGGTATGGCAGGAAACTATTGGGGACAAGGACGAAGCCGGGAGTTATGAAATACTGCATGTTGTACGTGTTTGGGTAGTTGGGTCCCCGTGGGTCGCTTCGTACGGCGAGATGGAATTCCCTAGCGCAGAATCTATCGTTTTCTGTGAGGCAGGGGAATACCGGGTTCCTCAAATTTTCCCGTAACCGATGTTGTTCTTCTTCCCAGATTTCTCAGTGCCCGAAATACGACTCGTAATCCTCGGAATTCCAAGATACGTCGGAACTCTGCGAGCTCGTCATTCTTTCATCACTCACGTCTTGGGGGGGGGATAAGTTAATCGGGGAGATCACCGCTCTTAAGTGCGTAAGAGAGATGCGAACGAGTCACACTTACGCGCACTTACGCGCGATGGGTAACCCGATCCCGATTGACATCAACTCCTTCTTCAGTGAGGGGCTGGCTACGCGCATTAGTTAAGATGTGATTGGTGAGTCCGAGTGGTAGGGGCACGTGTAAGCCTCGCTCCGTCCGGATCGGACTTGCATGTGTCCCTATGGCACGTCGGATGGTGCGCTCCAGACTATCCGTAAGATACAACAAGCCAACACACTCTATTGATCACGCCAGCGTGCAACCCCCATTTTCACTTATTATGTACGAGGGTTCGAAGGAAACAATAAAAAACGAAAGGCGAGGGTGCGCGAACCATCCATACATTATTTGCAAAAGAGGATTCCGGGGAAGGAAAGAAAAAGGAGAAATCATCGATGAAAAGAAGAACAAAACCAAATCGGACAACAGGACGAGCATATGGCCGCAAAGACAAGGGCGAATTGCCCGTAATTGACACCAAAACTTATATACACAGATAAAAAAGGGAACGAAAAGAAAAGCGCAAATGCATGTTCATCCTCAATCTCAACTCTCTCTCCTCTCTCTCTCTCTCTCTCTGATGCCGACAGTCCGTCGTCGCGCACCAACACACGAGACCGTCACCCCGCTTAGTCCTCCTGCACCCGTCAGGTTCGCTCCGCGCTCAGAGTCCGTCGTGGCCCGCGTCAACCCCGCGCATTCGGCACCAGCTCGTCGGGTCGCCCGACTCCCACTTCACTCACCTCTTACTTCGCTCGTGTGCCGACCCTCTCGATCACGCAACCCCGAGCTTCCAGCAACTGTTAAGAGAGCAAGTTAATCGCGCAGCCGGAATTTATAGTGTGCATGCATGCGCGAAGAACACGGAATTACAAGGACATAGATAGATGGGGGAGAGGGAGTGCCTTCGTTTGCATGGTCGGGCCGCGGCGTGGGGGACATACCCTCTCCACGCATCGATCCGAACATGCAAACGCGGCTACCCAATGTAGGCAGGGGGGGGGGGAGGAAGAAACGAGGCGGGAAGAAGAAAAAGCAAGAAACAGAAAAATACAGTTAACAAAAGTATGCGCCAAAAATTACAATTGCAAAAAAGGATTGAGGCGCCAATCAATCAAGGTTCCRGCGCAGCAGCAAGAAAGAGCGCGCGAACATGCAGAGCAGCGCCCCAGAAAAACAAAAATTCCAAAATTCCTAAATTCCTAGCTAGGCTGCCAAAAAGGTCCGAAAAGAAAATCAAAATTTCGAAGACCGTATGGCTCCGACCAAGATTCGAAAAGAAAATTCAARAAAGAAATTCAAAAAGAGACACCGAAATTCCCGCGCGATGTCTGCGCGCCCAGGAGTCCGACAAAACGAAAGAAAAGAAGGGACGTCAATGTTTATTAATCGCGCACTCGGCGCGCACTCTGCATCCGACCAAGTTTTGCCCCCTTTTCCCCTGGTATTCCCGAATTGTCCCCAACTGTCATCAGGGGCTCGTGGGAGAACGAAGAAACAACAAAAAGGCAAGGACACACATGCAATTTTCCATCAACCCGTCCAATCGACGTGGGACCACGCTTAGCACTTCGCGCCGAAAGTCGCGCGTTACAGAAGCTAGTTTGTCACACCGCACTGGGCCGCACATACACGTGGCATTAAGGGTGAAAAGGGGCTCGGGGAAGGGAGGAGGGACCAACACACTCATATATTACTCATAAAGTCCTCCTGGACAATGAGACATCCAACATCCATAACCTCTCATACCACAGCATGCATACAACATAATAGCCATACATCGGGACCTTGCACACAACACACTGGGACAAAGCAACAATGGAGATAAAAGCGAGCTCCTTAGTATACAAAATTCCTCACACGACTGGCTGTCATGGGCCCAGCCCCCAATCCGTCAGAACCACCGACAACCGTAGCCACAAGGCCCTGGAGCTGTCGGCATCCGATCTCCACCACCGCTCAGTCCCTCCAGCTGTCTTACCCCAAGTCTATCGCTAAGCCTGCCCCATGTCATCACTTTGCCCGTCACTTGGGCTCGTCAAGCCTGTTTGATGCCGCGGACCTCGCGCCTAGCTCGTGCAACATTGCAGCTGAGATCAAAGAAGGCGAAACTGCCATTTCGTCAAAATGGACATCTTTTATTTTTTTAACGAAATTGAAACCTAGTTTTTTGGCGGAAACTCGTCAAAATTTGTTGTTCCTGAGTTGTAAAACGCCGGACCCCCTGGCTGTACATGGAGAGCTTGAGACCGGGCACCTCCAGGCAGTCCTTTGTGGGGAACAAAAAAAAGTTGAAGGATTTGGGCCTCGCGCTGTGTGACCACGTGAGGCGCCATTTTGGCAAGTGCCAGAAAGTCTGCCTCGTGTCCTTTGTGATTTGCTGCCCCTATGTGACTGGGTGGGGTGGCTTTTCAGCAAAATAGGGATAGCAAAATTTGCAGATCTTGCTGTTATGCCACCGCTGTGTGAGTACGCCCTAACTTTAATAGAGCCACAAAAACAACTTTTTTTTTTTTTTTTTTTTTTTTTGAGAAAATGAGAAATTTATGAAGAAATCCTTGAGATAACGGGCCAAAAAGACAACTTTGTAATCTACACAAGAACACTGAAATTCTGTGTCCCCCAAAGCTCAGATCAAAGAAGCATTCTGAACGAAAAAACCACCTGCCTTAGGGCCTTTCAACATCCCAACCCTATATCCCGATGTCACAAGAACAAGTTACAATTGCACTATGGGGCCAGATACAGTTTGCAATTGCACTTCGGGCACCTTTTTTTTTCCGTTGAAATACAAAATGAATTATGTAACATATGTGAGATACCAGGGCCCTTACCAGGCTTCGGCTGAGTGACTCGAACAGACAATTCCGATCAAGACAAAACTGAACACCCTTACAGAACTGGTACCCGACAATTCCAATCAAGACAAAACCCAACACCCTTACCGAACTGGTACTAAGAAAACTATGTCTGTCAGACAAACAACTGCCTATGAACCCAAATTCGGGGACCAGGAGGTGCAAAATGAAGCCGCCTGCTATCAAAACCTCACTATGTCAACAGACAAACACGTAGGTCCAAACTTTCAGTCCTCGTACCTGAACTAACCCAGTCTCATACCCCCTTCTTGCTAGGGTACAAGGGCAACACAACCTTCCCCAGTATCGACCAACCTACCGTCTTCACCCGAATAGAACATCCGGTAATTATCGTCTTATCTGGGCAGAAAGTTGTGCCCAATACAGCTACAATGACCGGCCGTTATATTCGGCTGAAGACAGTAATTCTGACGGACAACAGGGAGTGTCTTCCTCCCTCAACAACCCCCTTGGCCACAGGCCCCTGACACCAGGTTACAGGGTAATACCCCGGCACCGGCTACGTCGGACGAGCTGGTCATGCCTTCCACCCTCGGCATAACTCCCCAGGCCTCAAACGCCCCCCGGGTCACAGAGCAACAGCTCCAGCACCGGCCTACGTCGTCCCACCACACATCCTTCTACACCTACTTACCTTTGACAAACGGCCCATCCCCTGTTGAAACCCCCTTACTACCTGGCCAGAAAGCTGGGTTGTATACATTGCTCAAACTGCAATTCGAAACTTTTTCTTGGCCCATAGTGCAATTATAACTCATTTTTGTGACTCCCGCGTAGTTTCCTCTCGCTACCAAGTTCCTACCCTAGCACTAAATCAGCTGGCTGTTGAAAACCACCTGCTATCCAGCCAAAAGGGTCTCATATTGTTAAAAAAAAAATAAAAAAAAAGGGGCCTCAATGCAGCCTCATATTGTAAAAAAATAAAAAATAAAAAAAATTCAAGCCGGGAACTGGCCCGGCGTCCTCACAATGTTGTACTGTAGCCACCCGAGACAAGGTGAGGCCACTGAGCAAATACACGTTGACGATATTACTGACACATTAGGGGGCCTTTGATAGGATGGATGGGTGACACAGCTGCGGCAGCTCTGAGCGCAGCTCCTCGCTGAGCGACACGTGGGCAATGAGCTCGTGCTCTACTACCAACCATCTCCTTGCCTATACATTCATTCCCTTTTCGCTGCACGTAGAAGAAGCAGCAGAAGAAGTAGAAAGTTCGACCGAAGGAGTGATGGGTCCGCTGCAGTGCAGTCTGGAGAACCTTTCAAATTTATTTTCGTGCACTGGATTGGGCCCACGCGGAGTGACTCTAAAGATATACTTAGGGCCTCGCCACACCACTCTTGAAAACATATTTTCAAGAGTCTCTGCACCACCACATAGCCTCTTGAAAGTGCTACAGTCTTCCCCTGAATACAACGTACGGTCATTATAGCTGAACTTAGACTGAAAGATACCCCAAATCCAGCTATAATTACCGTACGTTGTACTCGGGGGAAGACTGTAGCCCAAAAATTCTTTCAAGAGGTGTCAGACTGAGCAGTAGTGAGAAGAAGGTCTGTGAGTGGGGCATGCTCGTACTCTTTATCCATGTGGTTCTCTGCGATATTAAACCACCAGTACTTGGCCTAGCTATCGGCCTTGGGAAGAAATAGAGTAGAAACGTTTCTAGTCGGATGAATTTGGGCGCTCCTGTGGCATCCCGTACGTTTCTTAAAATTGTGGCGCGTTAACGGGCACGACTCTAGGAAGTACTGGTGGTTAAAGCAAACTTCAGACTACATTGGTGTTTGGAGTTTAATCTCTTTTCATCTCTTTCCTCTTGAAATGCCCGATTCACCAGCCTGCAAAACAGAAGGTTCCCACCAACACAAATCACTCTTCGGCCGTGCTTTGGTCATCAACAATGTTGTTTTAGCCACCCTTTGGTATAAATCGGTTCTCTGGCCACTGAGCCCAGAGGCCCTGAGGACCCTGAAGAGGAAGGTGGCAGCCTACCTATGGAGAGGAGACAGTGAAAATCCCCACGCTATAAGTCGAGTAGTGTGGGACTCAGTTATTCAACCCAAGGCAAAGGGCGACCTTGGTATCCTAGACCCACTCAGCCAATCCCAAACCCTCAGTCTAC